ACGGACAGACGGACGGAGGGTAAACCTAAAGTCCCCTCCGGTTAAACCGGTAGGGGACTAATAAGCATGTTTAAAGTCAATCATCAGCAGTATCCAGAGCAGTTTTTCATGAAACTTTTTTTTCCCCAATCATTTTTATAAGGATGACTCTCTTAAAAATAAGAGACAAAAACATTTACATGCCACTAAGTTTATATAAATGCACAAAACTAAGATGTAAAGAGAGAACTGTGCAAGTCCACACTTACCCTATCCTGCATGAGAAGATCTTTAACAATGTCCTTGGAAACAATTGTTTTCATGCTCTGTGAGAAATCTTCCGGGCACATGGATGATATATGTCCCAGTGCAACAATGGATGTGATATAATTTGCTGATTCTGGTTTTAAGTTGTTTTTTACATACTGAAAATATAACAACAATACAAGGTTTTGGTCGGTTACATACAGTGTTTAAACATTCTTAAAAATGAAAGAAGTTGTTTAGGATGTTTTATAGTTTGGTTAACAGTTATGTTCATAGTACAACTTTAATTGTAAATGTTCTTTTCTTTTTGATGGAGATCAAAAAAGGCACATCTGTGTTTTGTGTGGGACAATCAAGTAGAACCGAAGTTCAAATATTAAAGTTTCTTAACTTTATCACATTAAAGAATTCAACATTCTATTACAAAATCAAATAGCGACAGATGGCAAGCTTTCAAAATTCAGCTACCTTAAACTGCTAAGCTACAAAAACCTGATTTTTTGTTTTCATTTAACATTGCATGGCCTGATAATAAGTCATATTTTCGAAATACTAAGATAAATTCTTCACAAACATTTCATGTATTTATCTGGCTTCATACAACAGATTTTCAAGTTGCTGTTTGTGAATATATTTTTGAAAATAAAAGATTAAGGGGTGGAATTGGCAATGAATGGCAATAATGTGAAGATACCCTGTTAAAAAGACATTTGAAAATGCATTTTTATTTTTGAAAATGCATTTATATTTGACATGGATTTGATACCTCAAAGACTTGTGATAGTGCAGACACTCTGTTAGTTTTGGCAATACTATTGATGCACCGTAACGCATGTTTAGCTTGTTTCGGGTTTCCTATCTTTGCCGTGTGTTGTAGAATAGGCAATAATTTCCTGAAAACAAAATTATATTACACACAATTATCCTCTATCTTAGTTTAAACATATTTATTTCAGGATGTGATGTCAGCTAGAGGCTTGTTTAAACCATTTTCAAGAACATTTCCAAGAACTAATCAATGAGATTATATGTCGACACATGGTCATGACCTGAGCAGATCTTAACCAAACAATCCTTAGTATCTGCGGCAGATACCTCAAAGGGTTAATATACATCTGTAAGACTACTTTAGCATCTTTTTTTTACCAGTTTAAGGTTGCTTTCAGTTCTAATGATAAAATAAGAACAGTACATACGCAAAGATTTCTGGATATTCAGCTTCAAGACTCAAACCACAGCTAGCAAACACTTGAAGAGTAACATCAGCTATATGAAATAACAAAAAGATTCAGCGTAAATTATTACAATTCTTACAACACAGCAAATAACAAATTTCAGTTAAAATTTTCTTTATTCATTTTATCAGTGTAAAGGTATTGATTAATGATTATTGGTAAAATTGAACACATTATAACAGAATTGTATAAGCATGAACAATATTTTTAATCCAAAAAGCAGATGTGGCTTTTTTATTATTCCTCTGTCATAACAGAAACTCTCTTATCAAGAATAGAGTTCTTTTCCTTTTTTATAATGCAATTTAATCTGTTTTTAAACAGAATGAGTATTAGAACAGAAAATGAGGACAACATACCCACAACTTCATCTTCATCTTTCAGGAATGATATGAGAGTGTCAAAAGTTTCTTCCCCTTGGAAATACTGAGGGAAAACACCCGCCAAACACTGAAGATACCATAACAAATCATGTTACACGAAAAATGTCATTTTTCATAGTCAATTTTAATAGTTAATAAAGTTTAACATAAATTTATATCTCTATTTCTAGCATAAACCTTGAAAATTTGATAACATTTTAAGAAACCATATTATGCAAAAACTAAATAATTTCAATAGCTATGTAATTCAACAAACTCCAAAACAATACTTTGATTGTGTATAACATTTAAGAATCATTTGATGTAAATTTCTGAACAATAAAAAATATACTTTTACTGGCTATACAATTCAACATATTTGGATTATTACACATTACCAGCAAGAGTTGTGCCCCTTTTTCTCCAGCTTTACTCATATGATCGGCAATAGTTCCCTGTCCTGTAACAGCATCATCAACATGTTTGACTAGAACAGATATTGCACTACTGTCCACCATGACTGGGGCTACACGTTCAAGTAGCGATTTTATCGTGTTGTAAAGCATAACGGCAGATTGACTGCTACCCACATTACCTCCCCCTAGCTTCTTATTCAACACATCTTTCTGTAAAGGAAAAACAACAAAGGAAAATAACTATAAAATGCAAAACAATTACTTAGAGTTATCTTAAACACTCATGGAGTCTTTGCTAAAAAGCTTTTATGTACTAAGAATTGTAGCTTTTTTTAATTATGCGCCAACAACAGTATACTGTGCAGTGCAATCAAAATATTAAGGACATTTTCGCGAGTTTTCATATAGACATAAGTCAGAATAGAAACTCTTTAAACCTACCAAGTTGTTTAAATATGATAACAGCAATATTTTGAGTGAAAAAAATATTAAAACATCTTTAAACAGAGATTTTCTTCTATGATCTGCTGACAAATTGAATGCAAATCCAGGAGATTAGCATAATTATTCTTTTAACCATTTCAGCTATTAAAGTGTTGCTATTAAAGTGTTACATATATAAACAATAACTATAGCAAGATACATACAACATTTTCATTGGCTTTACGACAGTTACAGTCAGCACTAACTAGATATCTCATTAGAGAACGCAGCCTACGATCATCTCTCATCATCTCATTAAACAGTTTCACCTGCTCTAATGATTTCTGTGTGTCTGGTAATGTTCCTAAAATAGAGCGAAAACGTCAAATGTTTATTGTATAAAACGGTCATAGACTAGAACTGCCACTATCATGGCGTGAATACCCCCGAAAACCACTTTGTCAGAATCAACAGTGGCCATTTAGAGCTCAAGGACAATCTGAGGTAACTAAGCCAGTGCATTGCTTAGTTATGTATTCTACATGCTTCAAATGTCAAAATCAATACACTGTGGACAGACATTTAAAAGCAATTGAGAGGTAAAGCTTTTTTTTTAATCAAGGTCCCTGTGACCTTGACCTTTGACCTCAAAATTAATAGGGGTCACCTTATGGTCATGATCAACCTCCATGCCAAATATGAAGACTGTGGGTTAAAGGAATCTTACAAACTTTTTGAAGTCAAAGTCCATACGACCTTGACCTTTGACCTAGTGACCTCAAAATCAAAAGGGGTCACCTACTTATCATGACTAACCTCAATGCCCAATATGAAGACTGTGGGTCAAAGCATTCTCAAGTTATTGGGCGGACAAGCTTTTTATAGTCAAAATCCCTGTGACCTGGACCTTGACCTTTGACCCAGTAACCTCAAAATCAAAAGGGGTCACCTACTAATCATGACTAACCTCCATGCCAAATATGAAGACTGTGGGTCAAAGGAATCTTAAGTTATTGCACGGACAAGCTTTTTATAATCAAGGCCCTGTGACCTTGACCTTTGACCCAGTGACCTCAAAATAAATAGGGGTCATCTACTACTTATGACTAATCTCCATGCCAAATATGAAAACTGTGGGTTAAAGGAATCCTGAGTTATTGGGCAGACAAGCTTTTTATAGTCAAGGCCCCTGTGACCTTGACCTTTGACCCAGTGACCTTGAAATCAATAGGGGTCACCTACTAGTCATGACTAACCTCTATGCCAAATATGAAGACTGTGGGTCAAAGGAATCTTAAGTTATTGGACGGACAAGCTTTTTATAGTCAAGGCCCCTGTGACCTTGACCTTTGACCCAGTGACCTCAAAATCAATAGGGGTCATCTACTACTCATGACTAATCTTCATGCTAAATATGAAGACTGTGGGTTAAAGGAATCTTAAGTTATTGGGGGGACAAGCTTTTTTTAGTCAAGGCCCCTGTGACCTTGACCTTTGACCCAGTGACCTCAAAATCAATTGGGGTCATCTACTTGTCATGACTAACGTCTATGCCAAATATGAAGACTGTGGGTCAAAGGAATCTTAAGTTATTGGGCGGCCAAGGAAAAACCGACGGCCAAGCTGATTCCAGTATATCCCCCTTACAACTTTGTTTGTGCGGGGTAATAAATAATGTTTCTTTTACATGCCAAATGTGGGCGTCGTAGCCATCTGTTTGGGCATGTTTACATCAGTTCTTTTGTTATCTATCATATGAACTAAAGAGGTTAAATAAAGCGAATCATTGATAAACTTGAATTGGTTTTTTAAAACTTTATGAATCTTTTTATCGCAAAAATTATCACATGAAAGATTTCTGCAAGATCAAAGGTCAATATCTTAAATGGGAAAGATTTCTATATAAAGTTCAAAGGTGTAATAAATTTGATGTTCATACAACACTTGCACACAAAAATTCAAGGAGTTTTCAAGGACCATCCCTCACTTTTCAATGACTAATAAGCTATAACCCGAATCCATGCTTGTTTTTTCTTAATTCTTTGATTAAAATTTAAAAAAAATTTTGTCATTGCTTTATCTCTGCAATATAAAACAATATATCTGTAACATAAGATTCTCTCATTATAATTTTAATCTTACTTGCTATTTCGTTGTAGTTTAGGTAAGAAGACCACATGTTCTCTGGGATTTGCAGTCATTTTATCAAGTCCATCTAGTAGAAACTTTACACATGTTCGGACCCTAAAAATATACAACACAATGACTAAATTCCCATTATTTCACCCTGTAGCTACATTAACATGAAGCAGAAAAATTTAGGATGTCTACAACTTTTTCACATCTAAATGCCAAGGCAGAGAAGGGTTGTCCATGATTACTTTAAAACCGTAAGTTACTCAACAGCCGTATCTGCCTGCTCAACCATCCACACATAATATTTATTACACAACTTTGTAAAAGAAGGACTTTCAAATGAGTAAAAGAAGGAAAAGGGTACTTCATGTCAAACTAAAATTGTATGTCAAACTAAAATTTGTAAATCCAGTATAGAGAGAAAATACAGTTACACGAATATATCGATAAATAAGAAAGTTTAATTACAAAGAATATAAATTAGGTCAATATAGAAGAGAATAAACTTACATATGTCTGTGCTTCATCATTTCATGGAATGCTCTGTAAACAAAATAGTAGTTTAATGAAATGAAATAAACATACTTTATCGTTCATATAATATTCTAAAGGAAACGTTTTTTGTTTTTCTTTTTCAAAAGTTTTTATTTTATTTAAGTTCTTTATCAATATTTTTAGTGTAATTTTTTTTTTTAATAAAGGTTTTCTTTTCTCCATATTTTGTAAAACACTTTATATTATGTATGAATCCATATATGAGAGATATATAAATATGGTACAATGACAATTACAATAACTCATGTCTGAATCATGTCTGAAATAATGTCTGCCAATACCGACTGTTATCTGCTACATTTTTTTTTTTTTGGGGGGGGGGGGGGGGGGGGGGCATATCCTGGAACAGACCTTGGGGTAAATTTAAGGTTCATTTCCTTTTCTACAGTTTATTATATACAAGTTTTACTCCAGAAAAATATATTAAGGTCTAATCCAGTTTTTTAGGATATACTGATTGAAATCTATATAGATTGAAGAAAACTGTAAATTTTAAACTGAGAAAGAAGTTTGTAGGAATCTGTCATGTAATAACTTTAGAAGTTTGTAATACAATAAAAAATAGTGATTGCATTAAAATTTTTGTTCTGCAAAACTTCTCTTTTTTTGCATTCATTTCCTTTCTTTAAATAACAAAGTATGAACCTATCCTACTTTTAGCCTAAAACAAAGTGTGAAGCAATTTATTGCCACATTTGTCTTTAAGCATATATAATAGGAACACCTCAAACTCGGACTTGTGAAAGTCCATTTGGCAAAACCACTGGGTAAAAAAACAAAACAAGTGAAACAGGTAAGGACAATCTCAAGTAAAACAGCACACAGGAAAGTAAAAAGAAAAGAATAGTAGACAGGCAAATAAGATAAGAAGTTGAGTATTTTATTTACTTTGTTGCTGGTTCATCTAGCGTAGCATATAGCTGGAACAGTCGTTTCATCCTCTCTGTTACAGGTAACTGATACGGTACCAGGCATATATTGAATAACCTCTCTACCAGTAACCTTCAGAAAATAATATTATATTAATAATTAATCTTGAACCAATTGTTTTTTTGTTATTTTTGGTTTTTTTTTAATCAATCCAATTTAAACTCATTTTTGAATTTATCTCAGTGATAAGTCCACCCAATATACTTCTCTATAAACAACCAACAATTACTCCTACATTATTGCTGAATTCATGATCATAGACATAAATTTTAAGACATAACATTATTAAAATAGCATAATCACATGTGATTTACTAATTTAATCAATGATAAAATCATATACAAAAACTTTTGGTCACAAAAATACAGACAAAATAATAGCCAATCACTTTCACAATCACACTAAGCTTAACACTTATGTACCACAAAGTACAAATTTAATTTTTAATTATTTTAAACATATAAATATACTTCTTCTAAAATTCTGAAAATGTCTGGAAAAAAAACTTTGAGTAGAACAGTGTTAAGAACAAATTTATCCAATACTTAAGAAAGCCAAAATTATCACTTTTAAACTTGTGAGAAAAGAGACAAAATTCTGACCTGTCCTCTGGGTTCTGCTGGTAGTATGCATGGAAAATTTTATTTTTCACCCAAACAATCTTGTCTAGATGTTCTTGGCTGACACTTTCAGCCATTGTAACAACCTTGTACAATTGACCCAAACCATTCAAAGCATCTCGTCTTATTTTGAACTGAAAAAATCATAAAATACATCCATGATTTTTTTTTATCTTATAAGACAACCATTATTGAAGACTTCTGGATAAGGCAGACTAAATGAAAATGCACACTAAAAATTCACTATGATGAATCCTCGACTGCCTAAAATTGACCATATAACCATTGGTCAATTATGTTATCGGTTTTTGATCATAATAATGCCATTAAAAGGCAGGTGTAAGCCAAATGACTATCTCAAATGAACTTTTCATCCACCTAGAAAACAATCTTAAATAAAATCTGATAATACCAAATTTGACAATCTCAAATTCAAAACAGAACAACCATCTCAGAAAAATTTAAATGATAACACTGATATTTGTTATTTTAGGAAATGTTGAATATATTTGAAAGTTCCATAAATTGGGTCAGTAAAGTGATTCACCTTTTTATCCCTTGTTCTCTCCCTTAATAACTTCCAGCATTTCTGGTGTAGTTGCAGCAAAGTTTTTCTTGGCAATATTTAGAAGTGTATTCACTACCTCCTGTCTTACAGTCTCCTCAGCATCATGCTGGCGAATCTTTACTTGTTCTGTAAACAAAAATGGAAGCCATGCGGTATCATTGCATTTATATGATTTAATTAAAGCCCCCCCCCACTTCTTTTTCATCCAAGAACCTTAATGATACAATACAAATATACAATTGGCTATAAAAGTGAAACAACAGTGTCACAAACATCAGGTTATACAGTATAATCAAAATAATTTTTTTTTAAAATGAACTCAATGTAAGTATTCAAAAACTTTGTGATTTTCGGCAAGTGATTAAGGGCTTGTCTTCACTATTACAAATTTTACATATTATACAAAATGCTAAATGTTTAGCATATGTACAGTGTTGCTTTTAGAGAGCAGGATCCCAGGTATCCTGCAATATTAGAAGCAGAGTACCCCTAAAATTGTATCCCCAATTGCTCCTATAATTTCTCACTCTTAACTGTAATTTCTTATTCTGATCATATTTTCTTCTTTAGCTCAACAGCTGGACACTGTTTTCTCATTTTACACATTATGCAAGTAAGAAAAATGGTTCAACTTTAACAAAATGGTAAAGACACATGCATCTGACCGAGTTTATTGAATATAAGAGAAAATTCACAGGGAACTAAAAATAGGAAATAAAGGTTCGAAAACAATTTTCAGGGTGATAATATATGTATCATTGAAAAAGAACTTGTAAGTGATAATATATCTACAAGAATAATACGTTCCCCCTGTGGGATGAATAATAATGAGTGGGATAGAAAATAAAAGCAAGAGCCATGTCAACATGACCATCCCTCTCCGGATGTGTTTGCTCATTGGAAGAATGTATATTTAGAAGAGGAGAATAATTCAATTTTAAGAGGTCTTTGGAAATTAAAACTGATGGCTGAAGTGATTACAAATTTGAAACCTTTGTGAATACTGATAGCTGAAAATAACAAAGGGCAATAACTCAAAAATGCAGGGTATGTTATCGTTCTTGTGTGCTGCACTACTCCTCAATGAGACCTATCCACCTATGAAGTTTCAAGTTGATATTTCAATAGTTTTTATAGTTATGCTCTGGACAAAAAATAAGCATGAAAAAAAAAACAAAGAGCAATAACTGAAAACAAGAACCGGTTGAACTGGGTGATGCTCCCCGAGAAGGTTCTGGACACAGGAAAGTATAAAAAAAATTAACAAAGGGCAAAAACTCCAAAATTAGGCAAAGCGGAGTTATGTTTTTTTGCACTGCACTTCTATTCAATGAGATCTATCTATCTATAAAGTTTCCTGATGATATCAGAGTTATGTCCCGGGTAAAAGTCAAAGTTTAAAAATGAACAAAGGGCAATAACTCCAAAATTAGACCAGGCTTTGTTTAGGTTCTTTAAGCATTGCAGTTCTATCCAATTATATCTAGCTACCTACAAAGTTTCATGTTGATATCTCTAATAGTTTTAAAGTAATGTCCAGGACAAAAGTCAAAAAGTAAAAATAAACAAAGGGCAATTACTTCAAAATAAGGCAAGGCAGAGTAATGATTCTTAAGCACTGCACTTCCACCCAATGAGACCTATCTATCTACAAAGATTCATGTTGATATCTCTTTATATTTTAGAGAAATGTCCCAGACAAAGTTCAAAGTGTCAAAAAATGAACAAAGGGCAATAACTCCAAAAGTAGGCAAGACAGTGTTACAGTTCTTGTGCACTGCAAACTTACTCAATGAGATCTATCTACCTACAAAGTTTCATGTTGATATCTCTTATACATTAAGAGTTATGTCCCGGACAAAGTTCAAAGTGTAAAAATAAACAAAGGGGATAATTCAAAAATTAGGCAAGGCAGAGTAAAGGTTCTTGTTCACTGCACACCTACTCAATGAGATCTATCTACCTACAAAGTTGTATGTTGATACCTCTTATACTTTTAGAGTTATGTCCCGGACAAAGTTCAGTGTAAAATAAACAAAGGGGGATAATTCAAAAATCAGACAAGGCAGAGTTACGATTCTTGTGCACTGCACACCTACTCAATGAGATCTATCTACCTACAAAGTTTCATGTTGATACCTCTTATACTTTTAGAGTTATGTCCCGGACAAAGTTCAAAGTGTAAAATAAACAAAGGGGAATAATTCTAAAATTAGGCAAGGCAGGGTTACGGTTCTTGTGCACTGCACACCTACTCAATGACATCTATCTACCTACAAAGTTTCATGTTGATACGGGGACGGACGGACGGACGTCCAGCCGAAATGGAATAAAGGGCCATTTCCTTTGTTATTTTCTATTGTTTAATAAAGGGCCAATGGCCCCTTACTCTATTGTTACGGAATGAACTCTATTGTTCTCTTTTGTTCTGTTTACAGTTAGATGGCCCCCTATCCCTATTCGGTAGTGCGGAAAGACGGACTGACGGACAAGGCGGCGACTATATGCTCCCCCGAAATTTTTTCGGGGAGCATAAAAATTATGCAGGGTAGAGATATCATTCTTGTGTGCTGCACTCCTCCTCAATGAGATCTATACATACATGAAGTTTCATTTTGATATCTCAAAGGCTTTTTTTGTAATGCTCTGGACAAAAATTAAGCATGAAAAATAACAAAGAGCAATAACTGAAACATTAATTTATGCAGGGTAGAGATATCATTCTTGTGTGCTGCACTCCTCCTCAATAAGACCTATCCATGTTGATATATCAAAGGCTTTTATAGTTATGCTCTGGACAAAAAGTAAGCATGAAAAATAACAAAGGCCAATAACTGAAAAAATATGCAGGGTAGAGTTTTCATTCTTGTGTGCTGCACTCTTCAATGCGATCTGTCCATCTATAAAGTTTCATGTTGACATCTCAAAGACTTTTTAAATTATGCTCCACTCAGAAGAAAAATTAAGAATGAAAAAAACAAAGGGCAATAACTGAAAAATTATGAAGAGTAGAGTTATCATTCTTGTGCACTGCACACCTCTTGAGTGAGATCAATCCACTTATGAAATATTATGTTGATATCTCAAAGGGTTTTTTGAGTTATGCTCTGGACAAAAATTAAGTTTGAAAAATAACAAAGGGCAATAACTCAAAAATTATGCATGGTTAGAATAATCATTCTTGTGCACTGCACTCCTCTTTAATATGATCTATCCACCTATGAAGTTTCAAGTTGATACCTCAAATACCTTTTGAGATTTGCTCCAAACAAAAATGTCGGACGGAAGGAAGGATGGACGGAGACTATTTCTATATCCCCAACGCCTTTCGGCGAGGGATAATAAGTGCTAGTGGTGCTTGGTGTTTATGAAAAACTTTGACAAAAGTCATTATGATTTCTGGTTAAATGATTTTTTTAAAATCAAATTCAAAACCCTTAAAATTGTGTTGTTCTATATCTCATGGTCCACTATCAAGACATGTAGAATGTTTTTTGGTTTTTAAACACACATGAAACACTGTACGTAAGAAAACATGAAATGTTCCAGAAACAAATATTATGCTACTAAGTAGGATTTTAATGATATACTATGCTCAATTTGATATTGAAACAAATATTGATAATTGCTGGCACAATCTCTTTGTAAAAATGAAAAATAAATAACGTATTAACTTCATTCAAAGTAGAAATGTTATGTTTAAAATTCTAACACACTATAGATGGTTACAATGTGAATATATCTTAGCATTAAAAAGAGGAAAGACCAATTTTACAAGACCTGTATTGAGAAACGCAGCCTCCCATACATAGATTTTTCTTTCTTTTATTGAAATTAGACATATTCAGTTAGAAATTTCATAGATTTCAATAAATTTCTTTGATTCAAACATTTTACTCATGGATGACCATAATATCTTTAATTTTTTTGCAATGATTTCATTAAAACAGGTAAACTGAAATTGTTCTTTTACAAATTCAACAAAAATTTGTTGTAAACTGCAGGAAAGAGATATAGCTTTATACATTTTAAGGGTGGTCATTTAGATTTAAGGAAAAAAAAAAAAACGAAACGGTTGCTGAACAATGTTGAATGTGAAACAAAATGACTGTATTTCATTTTCTACCTACCGATGACATCTTTAGTAAGTTCTGGATGATGTAAAACAAAGCTGACAGCTGATTGCACACAAATCGTCCTCACAGTAATACTGATGTCATTAAACCTGAAATATCAATTTTAATGTTTGTGATATACCAATATAAGGCCCCATTCTAATGCAAAATAAAGCCCCCCCCCTCCCCAATTAAAAAACATTCTCCCAACAGCAGCCTTTGAAAAGAAAACTTATATATTGAACTCTTTTGACTTCTTCCTTAAAAGAAGTGGCCAATTACTTGATCAATCGATCATGCACATGTTTAAAACAACTGAAATTCAGGTAGTTTTTTAGCTCTTAAAAATTACTGAAATTTCTCAAAAAATGCATGAACAATTTTCAATATTTTTAATGCTGGGGGCTTTTTCCCCATAAAAAGCTCAAAAATGTCCCGAAAGTGTGCACTTTTAGATCTTGATTATAAAAACATATTGTACTGTTATTAAAATCATACAAGTACTTAATTAAAAAAAAAAACAACAACAACAAAAACTTAAAACTTTTATTTAGGGTAAAAACTTCATATTTTCCAAAGACTTGACGAATTGAATTTGTGCCTACCTGCCCAGAAAACAGATCCACAGTGCTTTATTCTGGTCAGCTAGATTTGATTCAGGATCGGAGAACATCTTTGATAATATTTTAGTCACCTGTTTCCGTTCGGTCTCCTCATTACTCTGTGAACACATTATTTATGATTATCACACAAAAATATAGGGCTGTCAATTGAATTTTGAAATATCAATATATCATCGATATTCATCATCCGATACAATTCGATACAAAATTTCAAATATTGATACAAGCTAAATTGATTTTCTTCAGTTAGTGAATATAACTCTCTATTTAGCCTTATATGAGTAGTAACTTTTTTTTCCAGTTTACTTGGCTAACTTTGACTGTTTTCTAATGTCAGTGACAAAAATTACAGAAAAAACAAACTTTCTGTTAGTTTGTAGTATTTGTAATGTGTATAACACCATGTTCCCAACTGACCACATATTTACAGTGGAACCTGTCTAATCCGAAATTGTCAGGACCAGAAGAAAAATTCGGATTAGAAAGGTTTCCGGATTAGAAAGGTTTCCAAATTAGGTTTTTTAACATGTTTTTTCATGTTATTTGCAAAAAAGTTTAAGTAAAGGAAACGGGAATGCATTTGAAATTGCAATTTAGATATTTGATTTTTGCAGTCTCTTATCGTTCATTTTAATACATGTACTTGTGAATACAAAAATAAAGAAATAAAAAATAAATCAATAAGCAAAAATATTAGGTCCTTAAGGGTAAGTTAACCTACGATGTTAAACAGGGGGCCCAAAGACAAAAATTTGAAAATTTTTTAACCCGCATTTTTTCAATTTTGGGTTTACTCGTACCCCTTTTCAGGCCCCAAAACCCAAATTTCATGCAGTTTTTTTTTAATTTCCTTTTTAAAATTAATCATGTTCTTTAAAACCTATAAAAAAAGGATAAAAAAATATTTCTTTTTGCATTTTTATAAAAAAATTTTTTTATAAAAAGGAAAAGGGAAAAAAACAATAAATTTAAGCAATTATAGAAGATTTTCAAGGAAAAGTTTAATTTTTAATTTTCCCCCCTTTGCAGACCCATACTTTGTCACCCTTTAATTTCAAAACGAAAAAAACCCCTACCCGTTTGGGTGTATTTTTTTTCCTGTAATATGTGCGATTATTGTTGTTTTGAATAAGTGTGTGACATTTGGTAAAATCTGTTCGGATCCGAGAGGTAAATTCTAGAGTAAAATAAGAACAAAAATAGAAAAAATCGTCCGGAATTCGGAGTAGACAGATTCCGGATCCGAAAGGTTTTTTACTATTGAAAATAGAACGAATAAAATCGGGACCGGACACTTCGTTCGGATAAGAAAGGATTCCGGATTAGAAGGGTTCGGATTAGCAAGGCTCCACTGTATATGGATTTCAAAGTTGATATATTGATATATCATTGATATTTGTCTCTTGATATATGGATACAAAATTTTCCATCATAATAACCCTACAAAATACAGTAAAACTTGTTCTCAATGACCACTCTAAAGAATTCCAATACAAGTACTTTGTTGACAAGTGAAGTTTTCAATCAAATTGATAGTTTTGATATATCATTAATCAAGAGGAAAGATGATTTAACAAGAGCTATCACAGGAGACAGCGAAGCTCGACTAATAAAATACTGACCGCAGTAAAGAAGACAAAACTATGAAAGGAAAGTCAATTGTGTATAATTATGTATATATAAAAAATAACATTTGTTAACATAATTTTAAGTGCAAGGGGGAATTATTCTGGAAATAATCAAGCTAGAGTTATGAACCTTGTCACACAACATGTGTGTAATGATAAGAAATATATATTTGAAGTTTGAAGTAGATACTGAAAAAGTAAAGACGTAATAATATTTCTTAAAGAATATCCCAAGTTCAAAGAGAGATTAATCTCTAAATATTGCTTCAAGAGTTATAAACCTTGTCACATAAGATGTAATTGATGAGAAGGAATAAGTATTTGAAGTTTGAGGTAGATACCTTTAAAACTAAAGAAGTTATAGTAAAAATAACATTTTTCAAATAAAAAATCTAAGTTTATGGGGAGATAATTTTTTCAATATTGGTGCTAGAGTTATGAACCTTGTCACATAACACGTGGTTAATGATAAGGAACATATAATTGAAGTATGAAGTTAGTCCCTTAAGAAATAAATAAGTAACAGTGAAAAATGATATTTTTAAGGAAAATTCTAAGTTCAAGGGGAGATAAATCTGTAAATATTGGTGCTAGAGTTATGAACCTTGTCCCATAAGATGTGGTTAATGATAAGGAAAATATGTTTGAAGTATGAACTTGATCCCTTAAGAAATAAAGAAGTAACTGTAAAAAATAGTATTTTTTAGGAAAATTCTATGTTCAATGGGAGATAAATCTGAAAATATTGGTGCTAGAGTTATAAACCTTGTCACATAAGAAGTGATTGATGATAAGGAACGTATATTTTAAGTTGATATCATAAGAAATGAAAAAAGTTATAGTGAAAAATGTTTTACTGCACCAAAACCTTAATCTGATATCTGGACACGGACGCCGAGCAAGTAGAACAGCTTTCCATATACTTTGTATAGTAGAGTGTCTTTACATCGCATTTCACTCTAAATTTCATATTCAGCTAAAGCCAACCTTTTTTCAAAGAATTTTGGCCAAGTCTAATACTGCTCTTTGTGGCCTCATGTTCACGTATTTAGGTCTTGTGCATCCCAAACAACAAATGCTTGATCAGTCCTGGTTTACAGTAGATATCCGGGTTGTTGTTGTTTTTATAAGATTCCTTTGCAATTTATAAACAATTTTACACCAAGACATTCAACCAATGAAATTCTTTTAACACACAAAATTCATTTACTGTGTCAAGAGTGGAAATTTTAACTTTTTGAGTAAGTGAACCAATCCCCCTTTCCTATATAACACACTTTTTTCCTAGGCAAATAAAATTTTTCCCTACAACTGTGGAAATTTTAACTTTTTGAGTAAGTTTATCTATTGAGTAAGTGAACCAATCCCCCTTTCCCATAAGACAATGCACTTTTCTCCTAGGCAAATAAAATTTTTCCATACAACTGTAAACATGATCAAGGATGAAAGGATGGTTAAATGGGAGTTTATTAAACTGTTGACATTTGTGAATCACTTTGTTGAACGTCATTGCACTTTAACTTATATTTAATAAAGCCTCTACACAGAGACTACTTTGTACATTTATTTCAAAACAAGTTATACAATTATTGTATGTATGTGAAGCAAGAACTGCCTGAAATTCTCCATTAAAGATGGGGAAAAAAAACAGACAGAACCCTGATTCTTAATCTTAAAAAGATCTTACAAACTCATAGTACTTTCTTCAAAACTGGCATTGTGGTCGAAAGTGAATTACATAAAATCAAAAATAAAATTCTAGTCATAACCAAACCAAACATTACTTGAAGAGTTATAACACATGCTCAATATTTAATACATGTATAAAACTGGTGCCTTGAAAATCAGGTCATTTACCTTTAGTTTAAACTCTAGTTGAGGAAGTACAGCTAACAATACAGACGGACAGATAGCATTCAGCTCATAGATCAGGTCATATAGATGTTCAGACAGTTCACTCTCTGATGTCTTACCCAGCATCAAGGCGTTGTTGAAAAACTGAAACATTCATATATTTACAGGGATATAAACAACTGTATAAGTGGTTAAGTTTATAGTGACATGGAAAAAAATGGAGTATTTTGAGAATGGACCTAAAATCGTTAAAATTTCCACTAGCGTCAATATCAACTTACCTATCTTTAAATTTTACCCTTACATGATTCGATAATATTTCTTCACCCAAAATGTCTGGAATTTTAAATTCACTAACAGTTCAACATGCGGAAATATCCACATACATAGTAACTCTGAAAAATTCAGTAAGCCAGCCAGATTAATAACTTTTGTTATCATGAAGCCCAGCCTACAATCTATTTGCCCAGTCCTTAAATTATGATTTTTGTAAAGAAAAATAATGTTTGTGTAAAAATTGTGTTCATCAACTTACTTTTTCTTCATTCAACTTATTAATTGTTCTTTTTCTTCATTCAACTTATTAATTGTTCTTTTTCTTCATTCAACTTATTAATTGTTCATTTCACTCAATGTATTATGAATATATAATAATAATAAAACATGACATTTTTCTATTACAATGTAAACAAAGCAACAAACTTGTAAAAGTCATGCAAACGCTTTCTGAAGCATATGCCTTTTACATGGACAATTCTTTTATTTATTATTTTGTAAACACAAAGTTTCATGAAAACAATTATTATTAAATATTAATAATATCTGTCATATGTTGCGGTTCAGATCGGAATATCCGTCCCGAGGTGACCCGCCCATTGGGCGGTAACGAGGCTTGTCGAGTTACCGCCCATGGGTGGGTAACCGAGGGGCGGATATTCCGGTCCAAACCGCAAACATATGTCAGATATATTTTCTTGCATATTCTACCATATTCCATTATATTTTAAATTCTTTATCTTTATTTTCAATGGAAATTTATATCATGACAACCGTAACTACTTGCTTACAACAGCGTATGAAATTGCAACTTCATTCATAAAGGTAAAATGACGTCATCCAAAGCGTGCCATTGTACAGCACGCGGCTCATCTGGCACCCCCCATGCCAGATGAAATTTCCGGCATGGGTAAAACTAACGTAAAGGCCAGTCTGCTATGCAAGAAAACATATGTCTCCAATACTATCTATATTTTACCCAGACACTTTCAAACCATCAAACCAAGCATTAAACTGTTTTATAACAGATTTTCACAAACTGTTAAGACTTCATTCCAGCACATATTAACATACTGTCAATGTTATCAATCATTCTAACGAAAATTAACACAGCTTAACAAAACAAAACAAAATTACTTAGTGGCGGCGTGACTGAGTGGTTAACATGTCTGACAAGTAATCCAAGGATAGCCGACTGCGTGGGTTCAAAACCTGTCTATGCAAGCAGTTGTTTCCTTGAGCAAGAAACTTTACATTCATTGCTTAGTACTGGTTGGTTCGAGGAACGGATTCAAGAGTGTTTCAATAAGCTTACAGCATCCAACATAATCAAACTAAAATAAATTTGTACAAACTAAAACTAATTACTTACATTTTGTACATATGGTTCTATAGCATTTGATGTTTTGATAAGAAGATCTTTGGCAAGGCCATATGTCTGCTTGTTTTGACTCTGAAAAAAAAAATAATAATTAAAATACAAATCAACATTTTGTTTTTTCTTCTATTCAACTGTTTTACCATTCCTATGGCTTAACAAGAAGACCATTTAATGTCAATCTCAAACACAAGCAGCTGATTTAGGGGTAGAAAAATTCAACTGCTCAGGTTGTCCATGAGCCTGTATAGAAAAGTAAATTTTTTCAATTATCTAATTTATTTATATCATATGGATAAGTAAAAAACTGATTAAGATAAAACAGACATATAAATCAAAATTAAATTATACCAGCTCTAAGGTTATAATGACCTTTTTGACATATTATATGTCCCTAACTAACAATGGAGTCACTACAAAATAAATATCCAATATCACTGTGTACAAGAAATCTATTCTAGTTATATCTTTAATCTTCAAGCCATTCATTTTGATTCCAGAACAACAAGACATTACCTGAAAGAGGCTCATAATAATTTAAGAAATATTCACAATAACAACTCAATGATTTCACACAATTTTGCGCCAGCTCCAAACTTCCATCTTCAACCTACAAGTACTGAACATGGAATTTTTTGGCAACTGCTTAATGTAGCGGACTTCAAACCACTTGACTGTTGCTGTACTCTCTATGGCAGTGAGAATCCTGCCATGACAGCAGACTTATGCAGATAGCTTACGAAATCAGTGGGTTTTTTCTTCTTTATATAACTACTACCCTAAAACAGTACTCTTCCCAATAGAAAATGAACATTAAAATTCTCAATTTCCAATGTTTAAATTTCTAAAATGGTTGTTCAAAATTCCCACAAGGCCAAGTGATTTCTCTGAAATCATTTAAACATAATAGTTCAATAGTTCTACCTGGACAGTGGAAGCTGTCAGCTGTCTTTCTCACTGTTTATTAATGACTTATCTTATTTGTAGCTGAAAAAAATGCAAAAAATGCAAAAAAAAATTCCCAATTTAAGTGAAATAACGCATTTTTTTCCCAATCCGTCTGGAAAAAAACGCAGAATATGTCAAAGGTTTCTACTTAGGTTCCCTATAAACCTGACATAATGCATCGATTCCGAATGTCTTTCTCACAAATCAGTTTCAATTCTATCAATTTTGACCATCACAGTATCCTTCCATATCTTTCTTTGTAATATTTACCTTCTGTGGCTCCACAACATTGATAAGAAGTATATCTAATAGTTCCTGGGATACAACATCAGCTTCTGTTAACAGTGGTGACATCATGTCCAACATAAAATTCTTTACTTTTGTAGTATGTTTTTCACTGAAATGTTAAAGATAAACAAGATATGTTTGTAAAACATGTATGTCCCCTATCGGCAGCCAATTTGTCATGTGATCAGGTTATTATGCATGACTTCTGACCCAGAAAACAAGCAATTAATAAGGGCTATCTAGTATCTACTGGTCATGACTAGTCACAAGGTAATAATTATTGTGACCCTATAGGTTGTGTGCAGCAATTAAAGTTATTAAAAATCTTACCAAATAATATATACATAAATTTTATGAATCACATAGGCCTCATTAATGACAGCCAAGTTGTTCTATTACATAAGACCTTCAAATGTGTATACCAAAAGCACATAAAAATATCAACCAAGGCAACTTGAGTTATTGGTCAGAAACGGTCATTAAGTACAAGGTCACTATGACATTGACCCCTTGACCCCAAAATCAATAGGGGTCATCTACTGGTCATGACCAATCATCTTACCAAGTTTGAAGTCTCTAGGCCTAAGGGTTCTTTAGTTATTGATCGGAAACCGTTTTTGCCTAAAAGGTCATTTTGACCTTGACCTTTGACCCCTTAACCCCTAAATCAATAGGGGTCATCTGCTGGTCATGACCAATCATCATACCAAGTTTGAAGTTCCTAGGCCTAAGCGTTCTTTAGTTATTGATCGGAAACCGTTTTTACCTACCTACAAGGTCAATGTGACCTTGACCTTTGACCCCTTGACCCCAAAATCAATAGGGGTCATCTGCTGGTCATGACCAATCACCATACCAAGTTTGAAGTTCCTAGGCCTGAGGGTTCTTTAGTTATTGATCGGAAACTGTTTTTACCTACAAGGTCAATGTGACCTTGACCTTTGACCCCAAAATCAATAGGGGTCATATGCTGGTCATGACCAATCACCATATCAAGTCTGAAGATCCTAGGCCTAAGCGTTCTTTAGTTATTGATCGGAAACCGTTTTAACATACAAGGTCAATGTGGCATTGACCTTTGACCCCAAAATCAATAGGGGTCATCTACTGGTCATGACCAATCACCATACCAAGTTTGAAGTTCCTAGGCCTAAGGGTTCTTTAGTTATCACTCGGAAACCATTTGGTCTACAGACCGACGGACGGGACGGACCGACAAGTGCAAAGCAATATACCCCCTCTTCTTCGAAGTGGGGGCATAATTACTGTATTATATGTATTTTATATTGCTGTCAATTTTTTTCACACATTATGGAAAATAATGCAAGATTTCATTTTGTATGATTTTCATATTTTTCTATTGATCAGAAAAATTTAGATCATTTCGGGTTTTTGTTTTTATTTTCAGCAGTAAAAATAACATAACTTGGCATAAAACTGGTATAACACTATCTTCTTATTTTTAAAATATAAACTAACATGATATCCAGAATGTAAATTTTGGTTGAAGTAAAATAGTTTTTTTGTTTGTTTTGGGTTTTACGTCACATCGACACAGTATAGGTCATATCGCGACGTTCCAGCTTTACTGGTGGAGGAAGACCTCAGGTGCCCTTCCATGCATTATTTCAGGCACAAACGGGTACCTTAGTAGAACCACTGACGTTCCGTAAGCTAGCTGGATAGCTTCCTCACATGAAAGAATCCAAAGTCCCTGTCGGGATACGAACCCACAGAGGTGAGGGGCAAGTGGTTTGAAATCAACGACCTTAACCACTCGGCCACGGATGCCCCAGTAAAATAGGTAAAGTTTGAGATGTTTTAACAAGAATATCTAAATAAAGACAGAAAACACCGCCAATCAACAGATATCAGAATATCATTACATTTAGCAACAAGAGCCTGGTTACATAGAGGATATTTGTTTAGTTCAGTGTAAGATCGGAATATATTTCACCGAGTGAGCACCAAAAGGTATATTTCACGAGTGGCGCAGCCACGAGTGAAATATGAACTTTTGGTGTTCACAAGGTGAAATATATTTCGATCTTACACTAAACTAAACAAATTTTCTTTTTATTATATGCAAAGAAACGTTTAAAAAGACATTAAACCTAATACTGAATGAAAAGCGCGCCAAATAATAATACAACGTGACGTCATTTACGACGTCACGTCATTAAGTTGGTACCCAGTACTGTGCACGCTTGTATTTCACTGAAACAAGGTAAGGGGCTTAAATTCAAAACAGTGAAATTATCAAAGTGGTAATTTCACTGTTTCAAACAGTGAAATTACCAGTTTTATATCACTGATATATTTCTATAAACCACCAAAAAGCATGTAATAAACATGGTTAATCCCCTCCCCTGGAAGAAGTTGCCTTAAATTTGTACTTTGGTATTCACTTGCGAGAGGAAATTCTTTGAGTCCCTATAGTTATGGTCATGCTAAGTACAGTTTTCAAGTAAGTGGAAAAAGAATAAAGCAATGGAGAAAAGGTTACCATAACTAGTAACCTATTTAAGATTTATTTATTTTCTATTATTTATGTCAAGAGTATTAAGTTTGAAGATAATCACTAAAGTACATTAGTAGTTACGCTCAGGATTATTTTCCCAAGTAAATCTGATGAAGGGGAATAACTCTAAAAGAAGGCAAGGGAGTTATTTTTCTTGCACAATGCACTTCCTACCAATGTGCTATATAAGTGTATTTAGAGTGAAGAAATCCCTCGAGTCATTTTTGATTTATGTTCAGACAAAGTTTTTCAAAAGAAAACAACTCTTAAAGAATGCAAAATAGAGGAATTGTACTTCCACACTCCAACTCTAGTCAGACTTTGAAGTATGAAAAACTTCGCTCAAATACTTTAAGTGTTATATTCCAGACAAATTTTGTATGGAAGAATGGAAACACAGAATCACAAATGCACCAACAGAGTCCATTTGTAATATTCCCTTCGCTTTCAGGGAGTGGATGTAAATCAGTGAAAAAAGTAGGGGATATTTGACTTACTTGATCACAGAAAACATCAGTTTGAAAAGACTGCAGAAGATTTCCTGATTGTCATCTAGCTCTATACAAATGTTGAAAGATTTCACCCATGCTAAATTCTGCAAAAATAAATATCAACTAACCCTTTTACAAATAAGCTAAATATAAATCAAAGCTGTCAATAAAAATTAACATTTATATATTTTACTTACAGTCCTTATTGTCAGCCATTTAATTATCATTTTCTATATGCTTAAAAATTCACCTTTATAAATGCAATGTCTATCAAAGTCAAATGTATAATTTATTTCTAAGAGTATACTTGAAATGAAACTTAAAATATTAAAATAAGAAAAGTTGACATACATTATGCGGTTTCAAGAAAATGGTCATATAACAATTTAAAGCTTTACTGGTGCATTATTTTAGGCAATAGCACCAGAGTAGAATCATCAGCCTTTTGTAATTCAGCTAAATGGCTCCCTCACATAACAGAATCCAGAGTCCTTCACTTAGATTTAAACTCAAAGTCATGAAGGAGATTAGGTTTGTCAGCAAACTTGACTGAAGTTGAACCTATAAGGAAGTCTCCAAAAGTAACCTCACCACTACAGTAAGCATGTTTAATGTAACAAACCTCCAGAAGGTAGAAGTAACGCTTGAAAGTAGGTGAATTTGGGTCTTCTAAACCTCGCAACTGTTTGATGAGAAACATGAAAATATCCTGGAAGAGAATAATTATTCAAACATTTCAAAAATAGCATCATCATCAAATCAATCATTAGACAAAACATTTCCTTGATTGACAGAATTATCCCTTTCTAACTCAAGTGGATTCTTCATTGCTTAACTAAGGGATACATGATGTTGACACTTTGAAGTAATATTCTCTTTTACATTTCCCCTTTCTACTTTCTACAAGCTTTCGAACTGTCATAAATAGTAACGCCTTAAAGCAGTAATCTGTTAGTGTTAGTTTCACTTCTCATATTGTAAAATAGCACCATTACATTAATCAGTAAAAGAAAAAAACATTAATCAGTAAAAGAAAAAAACACAAAAAAAAACAAAAAACATTTCAATAAAAAATATTATAAGCAAAGTGTTCTTTTGTCAGGCTTTCAAAATGCATTGCCTTATTTCATAAACAGCGTAAGGCTCATATATTACAGTTGCTTTCTCACTCTCTTTGTATCAAATACAATGGTTCAGTGGCTTGTATCCATCTATTTTTTGGTCAAATTAGAACAGCACTAAATGCACCTTGAAAAAGTAACTATTTTTCTGATGTGAATGAGCATGATCTCCCAATTCTGCTTTAAAAAAAAATACAACAAAGTCCTTTATCAAAGAGTTAAAATTTGAACACAAAAAGTTATCTAGCATCTTAGATTAGAAGCAATTACCTTTAAATGTGCGGCATCTCTGAAGGGTGCCTCTGGAGCAAATATCCTGAAGACATCAGCAATACAACAAGCTACAAGAAGTCGCACATCCTTGTTATGGTGTTCCAGGAAGAAATCTGTGGCTAGATGTAGAGCAAGACCTGTATACTGATCGTTGTCATCCTGGCCCATATCCTGGAAGGCTCTCGCTATCAACTATAAACAGAACTGACATCTTAAAATCCCTCAATTCACAATTTTTGGGGCATACACTATTCCCAATAGAGTATATATTTTTCCACCAATAAAAAAAAAATTCCTTTAAAAATAGGTCTTGTGCTACTTAATCAGGCAACCTTAAAGATCCTATATGTTATTATTGAGGTTGTATACCACACTTAAGTGAAATTTTATATAATTATGTTACTTTGTATATAATTATGCTTATAAAACAATTTTCAAACATCGGAGAATATGTAAAATATGTACTGCAAAAATTTGTGCACATTTGTCTGTATGTAAATTTTTACGCAGCAACATAAAAAAATATCAAATGATAACTTAAATCAATAAGATGATAAAATGAAGTTACCTTTAGTCTTCTAACAAGTTCATCTTTACCAAGCTCCTCTGTGACTTCCTTACAACCAGAAGGATAAATTATCTTCACAGATTTCGTTGTTCCTCGAGCTATCACACTCATGGTGATGCTTCACCTGAAAACACATAAGTCAACAACTCAACATCATTCAAACTAAGCTAACTTCCAAAATTCACCATGAGTAAACAAACATTTAACTGCTTACCATTCATAAAATAGCTCCCAAAGCAAGTTTAAACTTTAAATGCTATCTAAATTATGCCTTTTGCTGACTATCTGAAATATGCAATTTAAACTATATTTCATAAATTATTTTTCCTGCCATCAACATTTCATGCGCCAATGAAAACTCTCCAGTCCTTTTTCTCTCAAAAAGTAGGATGGCAGGCATGTTACAAGTAAAATGTGTTTTGAAATTTAGTGAAAGTGCTTGTACTAAGGACATTTAAAATGGGACCAATTTGATATTATTTATCTATTATTATAGAATTGAAAGTGTTTACCTTCTTGGAATACTTTTCTATAAATGGCAAGCAGCTAAATTTGTGGTTACTCTTGGTTAATATAAAAGCTCTATTGGAAATGTTGTGATTTTGCAGTAAGTTTCCATTTGTGATACTTTATTAATCATATTAATGATACATGATGGAAATTATAATATTTAAGTATAAGTATGGGGTGAGCAAGTCCCTCTTTTTAAAAAAATTGCAAAAAGAGAGATGCACTGGTTTTGATTTGAAGTGGAAATATGAGTTTCCTTGGGTTGAAGGGATTGATGGAGGGAAATAATGCATTTTAACTGCTAAAATTAGTAGATAATGTTTTCATGGACCAAATTAGATATTTTTTTTTTGCAGATTGCATATTATTTATACGAAATACCCTGCCGATGCCAGACTAAATTTTTTTAAAACATAATTATATTCTTGAAGGTTTGCAATTGTTAAGGTTTGCACAAGTCCAAAATTTTCTTAAAACCCCACAAACAAAAGGGGGCACATCCACCTTCTGGCAACCCCCTGATGTATCTTTTGGTTGGGGGACCGCGCCGAAAAAGTGGTCACTTTTTTAAACAACATTTCTCAAACAAAACAAGTGTTGGGGGCCTAAATAAGGCATTTTTTTATCATTTGAAACAACAAAAAAGTAAGGGTGTAACGGTATACCGTACTAGCGGTATACCGTACCGTCTTCACTCGGTACGGTTCACAGTACGACAAATCACCCATACGTACGGCATTTTAAACAATTTTCAAGGGGAGTAATTATTTCAGTAAAAATTGCAGAAGATGAATTTAAATCAGGGTCAGTGTCTTTTTAGTCGAAATATAGAAGCATTTTGGATTTAAGGTGAAAAAATAATTTAGCAAATGTCTTCTTTTACTGCTATTTCAATGTGCTGAATTTAATTTTTCTGACATTGTTATTTTTGTAAGACCTGACCATCAGCTGAAACTGCCTTTTTGGAAACGATTTTTGGCAAGCTGAAATTCGTGAATAAATGATAATACGACACCTTGACACATTTGCAAGTAAACCCCACATTGAATTTGTTGAATCCAAAATATTGTCAAAACACTGCAATAGACAGCTAGTTGTGTAGAGTTATGGCTAGTATTGGCTACGCTATTTTGTTGGATATTTTTTTCCATACTGTTCCATATTGTCAACGGATATATGTAACTGTAAGTAAATACGTAATAACCGTTATGAATGTGTTATAAGTGAGTAAAGTAAAATAATTTTTGTGTTCAGCTTATGCTCATTATTACACATAGTCCACAAATTGTTTCATCCAGTACCAGGGCACTCGTTTGGCCATTTTTGGGGCGGAATATCGGCCCCATTCCCCTCTCAAAATCATATGTTTTTTCCCCCTATTTCAGTAAAAAATTCCCCTCAAAAAAAAAAAAAAAAAAAATTGTAGTGTTAATGTTTGATATTTAAGAAAAAGGTGATGTTTTGATTTCATACAAATAAAATATATTTCTGTTTAACTTTCAATGGACTGAAAACTAAAATACAGTAGATCTAGTCAACAACGCTGTATGTTAAAACCGAAAGTAGCAGGAAGTGTACAGAAGGGAGGTAACTCCTGTAAAATTATTGACAAAATTAATGTGGCAGATTATCATCGTAGGAGTTTACCTTATATTCCATTTGTTTAGAGAATATACATACATTGTCATACTTCTGCTAGAAAATAAACAAAACTGTTTTAATTTCTGTCTGTTGTTGTTGGAAAAAACGTATTTCTTTTGCAGTTTCGTACTCAAATATTTTCGTACCAAATATTTTCGTACCCAGTTTTACAGTTTCATACAATTTCCTCTGAAACCAATACCTTTCTCAGTGTCTATTCTAGGACGCGCGATTGCGCGATTCACGCTAGTATTTTACAGATCGCGCACAATTCAAAATCATGTGCGTGAAAATCGCGCATCTATAAAAAAAGTTAATAAAACCGTAAAACTTCCATCCTGCATTATATTTGGTTGTTTTGTTTACATTTACACCGAAAACCGAAGGGAGGTAACTGTAAGCTAATTATAATAATTTAGTACCGTATGGTACTGGTTACGTGAGTTGACGGAAATTAACGGAATGTTCCGTATCGACCGGAACTAGTGTGCAAGGTCTGACAGTTGGGCGCCATTTTAGTGTAGTAAATAATCAAGAAAAATGAGGCAATTCCTAGCTTGGCTACGATCTAGACGTGAAAGATAGTTCGATTATTTGTATTGCCAATCCCTTTATAATCAATCGCGGCAGTTCTGTAATAATTTGTTTTCGTTTAAAAATTCAGGGGGGACAACTTCTGCTGCCTTAAATAAATATTATCGTTTAAATTATTTCATCGGTTGAACGCCTCAGTGTAAACTTAATGCAGACGATTTAACATTGGCAGTTTATATTGGCACCCTTTGATTTTGAAAATCGCCCCCTTTTTTGAAATAGAGGGGGGAAAATCACCCCTATTTTTCAATTCCTAGAATAGACACTGTTTCTTAGAAAAGTCATAAAGCTTTCTTCTTTGTTTTTATTTAATTCTTATTTCAATTTTCATTGTTATAATTGTTTCATTCTAAAGAACAGGCAGAAATATGTAGAAAATAGTTTAAGAACTGACCAGCGCAGATTGCAAAATAGTGTGATACATTTTTAACATTAAAAATAAAGAAAACATTAATGACTATAATAGGAAATAATTTTGCTGTGTTTCCATAACTTGGGTACAACATACCCTTGCCTAGGAAAATCTGCCTTTCCAGAACTTGTTGAGCTGAATCAATATTTTTTGTACAAGTTTTAAAAAAAAAAAAAAAACACAACAAAAGCAACTGTCAGTTTTAATTTTTTATCATAAAAAAATGCATTATAGTTGTTATAGCTTTTAATATGACCCTTATGTTTTTCAGAATTTGCATTTTACCCCTCACTCTAGAATTTGAGTGGTATAAAACCCTTGGCCAAAAACATATATCTGGACCTCTGATTGATGTCTGAGTCAGTCAAGTGCAATAAGAAAACAATAAAGAAAACAGTGAAATAGCCTTCTTCAAGAACAACTTCATGTTATATGTTTTATTTGTTAGGTCTATAGTAATAAATATACTAGCTATTGTAAGTAATGGTAGGAAATAGTGCCAAGAGTTAGTGTAAAACCTAAATTTAAAGAACTCATATATATGACTTAAAATTCCCCTTTTTGTCTTAAAATGACGCAAAATTCCCCTTTCTGAGGGTATGGGTACCTGTCCCCAAAAGTTGTCTAGTGCCCTGAGTACATCTAACTGCTGAACATTTTAAATTTTTCTATTAAACTTGAGTAATTTATCCAAAATAATCACCTTACATATAACAATACAAATGTGATGTTTTTATCACCTGTGCTTCTATATTGAATGATATTTTTATTGTAGGTATTTTACTTCTCAAAGCTTCAGAAAATATTAAAGCTTTTAGCATTTTACTTTAACTCAAAATGTCAATAGAAAACATAATGTTGTTACATCACAACTTTAAATTAATTTAGCATAATACATCCAGACCTGGGGTAATCATTAATTGTAATCATTGATTTTTTAATTGATTACATGATTACACTGTAATCATCATGTAATTGATTACCTAGCCCAAAATTGATTAATGTAATTGTAATTAATCAATTACAGCTAAAATTCTGTCAGTAATCATGATTACAATTTGATTGACATTGATTACTTTCAGATTTTACAGGAAACTATTTCAATTCAAATGATGCCATTATTTTACATGATACAGTGTAACTTTTGTTTTACATTTATACAGTAAAAGCCCTTAATTAAGACCATCATCTGGGCTGGACCAAAGTGGTTTTAATTGTGGGGTGGTCTTAACTGTGAACATTATCATTGCTTACATACTTTATGACAATGGTCTGTTTTAGTCGTTTTGTTTGAAAAAAAAACAGCTACAAGTGCAATATAAAAGACACTATAAAAGTACGTTTTGATATCTGATGAGAGGAAAACATATAATGATATTTCTGAAAAAAAATTAACTTAAAATTCTCTTTGGTCAGATTTCAATATCAATTATTATATGATGTAAATAAATCACCTATCAAATAAAAATTAATTTTTCACAAAAATAAATTTGCTAGAAGCAACATTAAACCACTCTAAAATTTACCTTTTCACCTTATTTCATACAATAACCCAATAATAACAGTTTTTCACACCTTTTGAAATTAAGTGTCATGCAAAGCATTCAAGCAGATTATAACAACAAATTTAAGATCTAGATAGGTGTTGATTTTAATATCAGTGGTCTCAATAGTTGAGTCAAATTGAGAATAAAGCAAAGAATTTGGACTGAATTAGGTAGTCTTAAAAGTGGATAAGCAGTTGTTCTTAATTCTGGATCATGTAACAATTGACACAAAGAACCTTGTAAAAATAGTCTTATTAAGGGGATGGTCTTAGTTCAGGTATGGTCATCAGTAGGGATTCTACTTTACATTGAATGTAATCAATTATCAATCAATTACTCTCTTAGAGTAATTGTAATTCAATTGATTACAGAGGTAAGTCTGAGTAATCAATAGTAATCAATTACAATAAAATCAGAAAGTAATTGTAATTAAATCAATTACTGATCAATGT